CTCACTAAGGGGGGGAATCCCCATTTAAATCCACACAGATGCTGGCGGGGTGGGGGAGAGTTGAGGTTTTAGAGAAGTAGAAGGCTCTTTTCTCCCACTGCTAGAGGATGCGGCTGCGCAGATGGAACGCCACTGATAAAAGCACAGTTCTCTTACAGGCAGCAGCGAAAGCAGGAAAAAAAATTATTTGAGAGATGTGCCCAGGAGGGGCTTCCACAGGGGAAGCCTTTCCAAATAAGGACAGAGGAAGGGGACAGGGATGCAAAATGCATCAGGGTGGTGTGTGTGTGTGTGGTCTTTTGTTCAGCAAGAGTGTTGTGCCCAAGAGCACCTTGATTGGCTCCAAACATTTAGAGCTTAATATGCTTCATGGGGCTGTTTTTCTATGGGCAGTTCCATGGTGCCAGGAATTCTTTCTGCCACTAAGCCAGCTGCCCCTGAACATCACAGTTCCAACTCAGACATGTGAAGCAAGCTGCTCCTGCCTGTTCTCCTGCTTCGCTCGCCTCCTTTGTTCTGCAGACTCCCTCAGGAACAACTCCCAGACAAAGGCAGGTCAGAACGTCTTGACAGAACAGGTGGGCGGATCAAAGACCAAAGGGACAGAAGATCATGCCAACAAAAGAGAGGATGAACAGTACTGGGGGGCAGATGGGGGGGGGGAGCGCAGGTCCAACTCAGAATGCACAGGACTGGGTCCTACAGAGGATTTCCATTGATGGGAGGGGAGATTTTTGCTAATCCTACTCTCTTGCTGCAGGCCTGCAAATCCCCCCTCCCCGATCACAGTGTTCCCTTCTCCCACTCCCAATTATCAGCTGATAACTGAACTGGGCCTTTCCACCCAAAGGCAGATTAAGAAAAGCAAGCCGAGATCAACATGTGGCCGGGAAGAAAGAGGCTGGCACTGCGACAGCCAGCAGAACCCAGGGCAACACAAGGGGTATGAAGCGAAGCACCTACCATTTTTTCCCTTAGGCGTTCATATTCGGGGCGGTATTCCCTGGAGGGAGGGGAGGCAAGAGTTCCACATGTTAATTTATGGCTTCCACAGGCTTCTGACACAAGCAGTTAGACAGACAGACACAAGGCTGGAGATGAAAACAGAGCTCCTATCTGGGCAGAGGCAGAGTCGCCCTGAGCAGTTTGTTGTACACAGAGCACTTGGGTGACTAAACCTCTGAGTTTTTCTGTAGGTTTTCTTTCCTGTATGCAGTCACACTTACACAGCAAACTGCATGAGGAGTTCATAGCTTGGTCTGAGCCTACCAAAAGCCACGTATTCTGGTCACCTGGTTGAGCAGGGGTACCAGGAGGTCACAGTCAGGAAACACACAGCTAGGAGACTTGGGTAACGCAGCCATTTAGTCATTGACCTATAAGATGCAGCAATCTCCTACATAATTGCTGAGTTCCAAAGAGGGACTGGAAGGGTGGGTTGCCACCTATTCATCAAGACAGTTTGGGCAGCCTTATGCTTAGCACAATTTGAAATGCAAGAAGAGAAGAAGAAGGAGAAGAGATTGGATTTATACCCCGCCCTTCACTTGGAGTCTCAGAGCGGCTTACAAACTCCTTTCCCTTCCCCTCTCCACAACAGACACCCTGTGAGGTGGGCGGGGCTGAGAGAACTCTGACACAAACTGCTCTTTCAGGAACAGCTGTGCCAGAGCTTGTGACTGACCCAAGGTCACATCAGCAGGTGCAAGTGGAGGAGTGGGGAATCAAACCCGGTTCTCCCAGATTAGAGTCCGCACACTTAACCACTACACCAAACTGGCTCTCAGAACACCCCGGGGGACCAGAACTGCCACCTGGTGCAGCGCTCTGCCTCAGAGCATCCTCGTTTTCTGAAGAAATCCAGCTCACCTTTCATATTCATCAACTGCACTGGATACTTGTTCAAAAAATTCTACCATCCCAGTTCCCTGGACAGCAGAAACACCAACCACCTACAAAAGAAAAATTACTTCTATGAGAGTTAATGGTGGGGTGAGAACTGGGAGCAGATTCACGAAGGTTGCTCTTGGAGGTGCTTGTGAGTCCCACATTCTGCTGTGTTGCTAATGTGCTTATAGCACACAAAGTGCTTCATGTGCAACATCACCTCGCAGCCATCTGCTCCCCAGCCGATAACATGACAATTTCATTTTACTGATGGGGAAACGTAACTGAGAGGTGTCCAGGGTCACCCGATATGAGGCGGATTCGAACTGAGGGCTGCCTGCTTTGAAGGCCAAGAGTCCTTCTTCTGCCAGATGACGCAAGCTTCCCCATAATCGCCTAGTTCAAAAATCATTCAAAGTCATTCTAGAGAACTACTGTGACACTCACACTGTAAAAGCAACGTTGGAAAATTTCTTTGAAAAATTTCCTTGATGGGGCCTTGTATTGCTTGTGATAAAACGCATGTACCTCTTTTAGCATTCATGTGTCAAATTCATGTGCACATGGTGCTTGCAGTTCTAACTTCAGTTTTGAGATTTACACTCAAAAACAAGCAAGCAAAACACCAGGAGGGGAAGGGCTACACAGCACCCACCTTAAGTGAGCTGTAGAACTCATCCAGCACCAGGCTCATGGAGCGGGTCAGATTACTGGCGTAGCTTGTTTCTTGGTTGAGAGCATCTTGGAAGACTTCAAAGTCCTGCATCCATTCCACTGCAAAGCTATGGTCAATGATGTCTGTCTGAGTCAAAGAAGGAAACAAGAGTGCCTGGTGGCCGAACGTGTGTCCTTCACCTTGCTTAGAAAGCTGCTCCTACCCTAGCAGTTTAGCTACAGCATTATCCTGAACGAGCACGACCTCGGCTACCAGCACCTGAGCCAGGACTGGTGGAGCCCTCATGACTGTTTGTTTTTTTCAGGCCAGGCTGGGGCAAGTGGATGGGTTATTCCTCCCAGCTGTGGAGCAGGGAAGATAAATAATTGAAACTGAAAGCTGTTCAATCCACCCTGCCTTGGGACGTAACCATTGTAAAAGGAAACCTCCGAATGTTAAAAAACGAGGAAGATAAATAATTGAAAGCCGTTAATTCCACCCTGCCTTGGGGCGTAAACATTGTATGAGGAAACCTCAAAATGTTAAATGTCCCTTCCCTGCTGAAAGCATGTTAGTGAACAAAGTCAATGCAAGGACACGGGCACAGAATGTTTGCAAAACATGCCTCTAAGTCCATCTACCCACTTGGGACACAGCTCTCCCTTCTCCTGAAAACCCGGACCAAATGGAATCAAAGAGTCCAAATTCCTTGACAACTTGACAGACTGAGCTAGGCAATGCCACTCTTGATTTTTGGCATTACAAGTGAAATTCCTGGAGTTTGAGACTTAACAGAAGTTGCATTGATCTGAGGCATGCACAATGAACCCATGACCCTTGTGGAACATGCACAGTTCCTTATGCATCCAGGCTGAGCAAGTCACAGGGGACTGCCTGCACAACTTGTGCTTCTGGAAACTGACCTAGATCTCCTTCCCCCTCAACTAACAATGAGACAAGCCAACTGGGTACAGAACTGGTGGGCCAGGACCTACAAACAGATATGTGTAAGGTAGATCCCAGTCTAAGGTAGATCACACAAATGAAACCACCACCAGTTTCCTATTGCTGCTTAGAAGATATAAGAAGGGGGGGGGGAACGGACACAGAGCAGGGATAGGGGAGGAGAGAGTGACCAATGAGACAGATGAGAAGCAGGGTTGGGGATAAACAGTGTGGATGTGGAAAGACCAAAGACTGCTAAGACCATTGCACTTACCTTGTTCATGGCCACGATAAATGGGAGCTTTGTTTTGTACAGGATACTGAAAAGAACAGGCATTGGTCAGGAAAATCTGAGAAGGCCTTAGGCAAAGTCAGGTTCCACTTCTAGGTATGGATTTCCAACACAAATAAGCAAGGAAGTTGTTTTAAGACACACAGCCATGGCCCAGCAGGCAAAAGGCAGCTGAGTAGGCAGAGTTTGTTTCACTGCAAAGACTCTGCCTGGGAGACAGCCAGAATAGGGCCTGGGATGACCACCCCTTGGGAGCTGTGTAGCTCCTAAGAGGACAGACACACATCCTGGGCAACCTAGCGATTCAGACGGGAGATTCTGAGATTAGGATAGACCAAGAGCCAATTATCAACCATTGATATTTGAAGAGCAGTGGAAGAGACGCCCTGCTGGATTAGACAAGTGGTCCAGCTAGCCCAGTGTCCAGTTTCACACCATGCCAGAGAGGTCAAGGCCCCCCCCCCAATGTTCCCTCCTAGACTCTGGTATTCAGAAGTTAACTGCCTCTGGAGGTTCTTGTGACCATCACAACATCCATTGGCAATAAATCCCATAATTTAATATACTTAGCCTGGTCTGTCCTGAGGTACTGGCACTAGTTGGTGGTCTGCTCTGCAGTCTGCTGCAATCATTTTGCTCAACACTTAGCAGACAAAATCTCTTGCATCTGTTCTCATTTGCACTCTACATTAGCAGAGATAGGGTCAGATGGCCCCAGGGTGCTGATTAGTCCGGCTGTGTGGGAGACCTTTCAGCTTGCTCAGTCTGAGGACGTGGACAGGAGTCCTGGAAGCCTAAGACCCACCACCTGCTTGTATGACCCTTGGTCATCCTAGTGGATGACCAGGATCAGGACATGGACAGGGGAGTGTATCCTGGACCTCTTGGTGGCTTTTGATACCATCAACCCTGGTACCACCTTCTGCGGTTGGGACTGGGAGACACCATTTTGCTGTGGCTCCAGACCTACCCCAAAGGTAGGTTTCAGAGCATGGTGCTGGGGGACCACTGCTTGGACCCTTGGCCTCTGGTGTCCCGCAAGGTGTTTTAACATCTATGTGAACCTGCTGCAAGAGGACATCTGGTGATCTGGGCTGAGCTGCGATCAATATGTGAATGACAGGCCTATCTTGGTCCGGCAGATCCCTCGGATGCTGTGGAAATTGTGGTCAGGTGCCTGGAGGCAGCTTTGGAATGGACGAGAGCCAGCAAGTCGAAACTTAATCTCAAAAAACCTGGCGGTGGGCGGGGGGGGGGTGGGGACTAGACCCAAGAATTGGGACCTCTCCTGTTCTGGATGGGGTTGCATTCCTCCAAAGGAAATGGTTTGCAGCCTGGGGGTGTTGTTGGACCCAGGCCTCCTGTTAGATAAAAAGGTGGCCCTTCCTGGGCAAAAAACATCTTGCCACTGTGTTACATGCTTTGGTTACACCTAGATTAGATAACTGCAATGCACTCTATGTGGGGCTGCCTTCAAAGACGATCTGGAAGCTACAGCTGGTGGAGAATGCAGCTAGAATGTTGATTGGAGTGGGTCATAAGGAGGAAGAACAAGAGATTGAATTTATACCCCGTGCTTCACTCAGAGTCTCAGAGCACCTTACCATCTCCATCCCTTCCTCTCCCCACAACAGACACCCTGTGAGGTAGATGGGGCTGAGAGAGCTCTGAGAGCTTGTGACTGCCCCAAGGACACCCAGCTGGCTGCATGTGGGGGAGTGGGGAATCCAGATTAGAGTCCGCCACTCTTAACCACTACACCAAACTGACTCTCCATATCACTTCAGTCTTGTTCTGTCTATATTGGCTCCCAATTTGCTTTGGGGCCCCATTCAAGGTGTCGGTATCAACCTTTAAAGCTCTGTAGGGCTTGGGGCCAGCATACCTGAAGGACTACCCACTCCCATATGAATCTGCCTGACCACTCCCAGTCATCTTTGGAGGCCTTGCTTCAGGTGCCCCTGCTGCTTGGGGCTAGATTAATGGCAACCCAAAAGAGGACCTTCTCGGTTACGGTGCCAAAACTTTGGAGCTCCCTCCCTAGGGAGATTTTTCTGTCTCCCTCTATCACTGTCTTCCACTAAGAGGTGAAGACTTCTTTATTTTGCGCGGCACCCCCTCATTAACCCTTTCCTAGTCCTCCTCCCTGTTTGTGCTTGATATGCATTTACGGGTTTTATTTAACTGTTCTAAATATTTCGTATATATTTGTATTTTAGACACTGATTTAAATATTTTTAATGTTCACTGCCTTAGGGAACCTGAGTTGGGTGCAAAGGTGGCATAGAAATGTTTTAAATAAATAAATGGAACAATTTGCCAGGACAAAGATCCACAGGAACTCAGGGGTAAATATGCTGCTGACACTATAAGGAATTTCTGTATCATTTCCTTTTTCTCAGGATGTCCTAGAGAGGACCATGGAGACTGAAGTCCACTGAACTGACCTTGGCATGCTGGTTGCAACTACTGGTTAAGAACAGGCAAACTAAAAGGAATAATGGTGAAACCCAAAATGGCATATGCACTCTAGTGCCTGAGGAAAATATCTCATATCGCAACTGCAAGTGCCAATGCGGAATCACCATCACCAGTCAAGCATGACCATGGCATTAACAGCTGCAGAGCCCAATAAACATTCAGCAACAGAAAAATGGTTAGAGAAGGAACTGGTACCTTTTAAAACTTGAACCCAAAAAGGCTGGACACTGTGGCCGGCCCTTCCCTTCCCTCCCTTATACAAGCCAATGGTCCAGACAGGCCTCTTACCTGCAAGCATACAGCATGTTGGACATGAAAGTAACAGGATTGGTGCTGCGAGAGGTGTCCATCACATAAACCACCACGCATGGGAACGACGATGCCTAGATGGGGCATTCATACAATAAGTAAGGCAGATCTACACTTCTCTCCCAAACCTCTTTCCTCCTAATTCAAGCTGAATATCATAGACTAACCAGGGCTTCGGTGATGATGGTGCCCGAGGCTGACCAGGTGAACACCTCAATCTGTCCAGGTGTGTCAATTAGGACATACCTGCAAGAAAAAGAATTAGTTCTCCTGACCAATAAGAATAATAAATCACAAGCACTGGGGGGGCGGTCTTAACCCACACAGCTGCTACCTGTAGAACAGGGATCCACCTAACTTCCTTTTATTTGTTGAGAGCTCCTTCTGAGTAATGAAAAATATCCTGAGCTACAGAACATGGACTGGAAATAAAGCTATCAGCTAAGGAACACAGAGAAAAATCCTGAAATAAAAGCTTAAAGAAAAACCCCTCTAAAGCAAACCTAGAACGGATCTTATTGTGATCTCTTCCTAGATCTTCTAGGGGATGTACAAGCTACTTAGCAGCAGCCAACAAACTACCTAGCAGAAAGCCTGCTGTAGAGAATCCAGAGGAACAATAATTTCCCCGTCTATTCCCACTCAAAACTGACCTGAGAGAGACAGAATGAGGAAGCATTGGAGGTTCCTTGAGAATCTGCTTCAGACAAATTATTTGTTACCACCCCCATGCCCCATCAAAAGGACAAGACCCCAAGTGTGAAAGGGATGATGCAAATTCATCCATTTTAGGTAGCTCTGCTTAAGATGAGGCTGCATCTCCCCCCCCCCCGCTTTAGCATTCCCATCCACCAATGCCAGAGTCTCTTATTTACTCACTGAGATGCATTCTGTCGCTTTTCAATAAATTTCATCACCTGGTTAGAAAGAGAAGAATTAACCACGGGAGGCCTGGCCTTTATGCAGAATCTTAATTTATTTCTTAACCAATCCTCCACAAATTATGATCAAAGTGGCTTAACACACAAACATATGACGAAACAAAAGAAAATCAGTAAGAACCGGAATAAAACAATACAGCTGGAGTTTGAACAGCAGTGATTTTCACAATGTCAGGGATACACAGCAGTATGGATTTATTTCAGCCTACTTTGTATGTTCAGCTATTTACGATTTAAGCTGCCATAAGCCTTAGCGATGAACTGGCCCAGAATGTTAAGGGCCCATCATTGGAAGGTGGCGGATCAACCAGGATAAAATATTAAGCCACTACAAATCCACCCACCGTATTGTGAAATCAGCATCTGGATCTTAAAAAAACCCAACATACCTGATCAAATCTTGTAGCAAAAAGATTAAGAGATGTCACGATGCCACCGTTTGGGCCCAATCCATATCTGCGGCGGGTTCAGGAAAACTCACTTCAAACGTTTTGGAACCAGAGAAAGCCTCAAAAGCATAATCAGTTTTGGTTCAGCTAGACTTCTTCTGATAGACAGAAAGTTAAAGGCCAACAAAATCTACCTGCTGTTTCTTCCTAAAGCAGGACCTGCGCATCTAGGCATCTAAGTCCTGGAGTCCCACACATCCATTCAGAAACCTTTTAGAAGCCCCACCAGCCTAATCTGTTTGTTGAAGAACTCAGGGACCTCTTACGAACTACTGCATACTATAAATTAGTAGGAATTGCTGATGAATCAAAACTCTGGGCTTAAAAAAAGACTCTGAGCAACATGACAAACCACACACACACCACATCCATGCCTTATCATTTTAAAAAATATTCTGTCAGCTGCCTTGGGCAGGTTTCTGGAAAGATGGCATTTTTTTTCTAAATAAGGAAGCAAACCCCCTCAATCCACTGCACAACCCACCCAGCTCTCCTTCTCCAGCCAGGGAAAGCCCAGGCTGGCCACAAGAATGGGCTGGAAGGCCAGAAAGCTCAGGAACACTCTGGGCTAGGGAGGAGGCACCAGGCAGAACTCTGGCAATTAAGAAACTCCTACAAGGGGAAAAACACACACACACACACAATCTGCCCCCAGTGCTGCTCTGGCCTCCTTTCCTCAGCACAGCTGGCAAAGGTTACCAGGCACTAGACTAAACAGCTTGACCACAAGTCTCCATTTTGAATGGTATCCTGATAACACTCTGGCTTCCAAACAGATATTATCTAGGTACTACCAGGCCGAAGTTTATTATCAGAAACTGCCAGGCAGACAAGCAGCCTCCCCTCTCCCACTACTAAGAATGATGGGGATAACCAGCAAAAGCCTGAGCCAAATTAATTTAGCCTGCTGTACCCTGAAGCATTCTGTGTGCCTTGGTGTTTAGTCATGCCGGCCACATGACCATGGAAACGTCTTCGGACAGCGCTGGCTCTTCAGCTTTGAAACGAAGATGAGCACCACAACCCTAGAGTCGGATTCGACTGGCTTTCGAGCAAGGGAACCTTTACCTTTACCCTGAAGCCTATTCCATCATGCCTAGCTGGATCCAGTCATAGCAGTCATCCTCCCCCCTCCGGCCCTGCCCAGATGGCCACTGGTGGTTCCTGCAGACCTAGAGATTAGCCTGTTAGGGCAAGGATACTGCTTCATGACTTCTTTGTACTTCACAGTGTCTCGAATGTCTAGGGGAGAAAACAGAATGACAAATTATATGATCTGATCGGGTAGTTTTGGAAGCTAATACAGCCTTCCTCACGAACATTACAAAGCAGCCCGGCTCAGGGCCCCCGAAAAAATATACATAAGGCTCACTTGTCTCATCACAAAAGAACCCACTTTTAGGGGCAGCATTTCACTCCCTGGCTCCCTCTGCACTCCTGAATGACAAAGTCATTCCCCCTCTTTTCTTCCCTGCTTGCCGCTTTTCTCATTCGTCCACCACTGCTTCCCATTCCATGTTGCAGCTGCACCTCCACCCCTTATACTGCCTGGCAGGCTTAATGCCAACTAAACTTACCAAAAAACAGCCACATGTTTAGTAAACCTACTAGGCACGCATGGGCAAACACACATTTCCCAACCACACTAACTGTGGCTAGCAACCAACAAAAAGCACATGTTAGAGATGTCGCTAGAGGGGATGAAGATGCCTGAGCAAAATAAAAAGCATCCTGGGACATGTATGAGCCAGACAAGCCCATGAACAAGGCCACTGGTCCACACACTGATCACCCTGATTGTTATACGACCCCATGATATGTACGGCTTAGTGTATGATATGTAGGGCTGTAGCTTAGTGGTAGAGCATCTGCTTGGCATGCAGAAGGTCCCAGGTTCAGTCCCCAGCATCTCTTTTCAGGATCTGCCAGAAAACAATGTGAAAGACCTGTGCCTGAGACCCTGAAGAGCTGCGGCTAGTCTGACGAGGTAGTGCTGACTTTGATGGACCGAGGGTATGAATCAGTATAAGGCACCCCAAAGCAAACCTGGAAACTCTTGCATCATAAGCATGTGCTATGGGCTTTCAGTTCTGAACTACACAGTAAGGATTGCCAGGGGTTTTTTTTGTGAACAAGACAGGGGAGGAACATTTCTGGAGCTTGGCTCCAGAAGCCTATGAAGGCAATACCCTGTGCAGGAAAGGTTACCAGGTGTCTACTTCTGCCAGTAGAGCTCCCAATGATGAGCCTACCATCCCTCCCCCACTCTCCAGACTAGCTGTAGAAAGGTCCAGAGGCGGAAATGGCATCGCACAGCATCATGGTAAAGTACCATAGAGTTTTAGGGGACAGCCAGAGCATCACCCAATGCTCTTAGGTCACATCTGAGTTTTCAGTGGGACATGACAACATCATCTCCACCTCTGGACCCACCCCTAAAGTAACCTGGCATCCCTACTGCACAGTGTAGTTAGGGCAGTGCTCTGTGGAAGGAAGGCTTGGAGTTCTAGTCCTGATACCTGGCCTTTTCTGATAAATTCTGATGCTTTTTTCGAGTTTTTTGCTGTTTCTTATAACTGGTCTAACGCCCAAGCACAAATCCACTCTGAATAAGCCTTAAACCCTTAAATTCTCAAAGACCAATCCCTCCAAGTGCCATTCATGTTCTTCATAAACTACTTGATGTGGACATACCAGTCTCTTTCCACTGTCTCACACAGAGCAACTCAAAGGTCTGGTTCTCCTTTGGGGGGTTTCTCTCACTTGCATTGGAAGTTCTAGTTCTAGTGATTTCAGGTGACTACACTTAAGAACGAGGCACTTCTCATATCTGCTGCTATCAGTTAAAAGCTGGAAAGGCAGCTCTTCTCTCAGCAAGAGGGTGGCAACTATCACAATAAAGGTGATGGCACTGCCAAGGCCACAGAGATTTATCCCGGCCAGGCTTTAAAGCCCTCCACTGCAAACTACCTGCCCACATCCCTCAAACAGAATGCCAACAATAGCACCTATAGGCTTTCAATTACTCCTAAATCTGTCACTCAGAGAGCTTCCATGGCAGAGTGGGGATTTGAACCTGAGCCTCCCAGATCCTAGTCCAACACTCTAACTACTACATCACACTGGTTCAGAATTCAGAAACCCTTCTTAACTCTCATCTCTCTGATGTTAGTTGCAGTGAGATGATGCTGTATTGCATTGGTGGGGTGCCTAAGTCCATGTTTCCCATCATATACTGCACCAGGTCACCAATTCCAATCAGAACAAATATATATTAGTAACAATTGTGGTGTTCCTTGTTTGATCCTATTACAGCCAATCCTGATATTCTTTTTAATTTTTGTACCAAACAGGCATAACAATATTCTTCCAATGCACCCTCAACATTTGAATAAAACAGCATGAACGTTGACAGCCAATTGCACAATCCTGGCAAACTAATATCTGCAGCAGCAACACAAACATTCTTAGTAACATTTTCTGGAAAATGGAACTCACCAATATTTGCTGGAAAAGGGAGCTCATGGACTGCGGGGTCCAAGTTGATGACATACGGAGGGGAATTCTTGCTGTGCAGGTAGGCAGTGAGCCTCTGTGGGAAAGCAAGCACACATCAGCTGGGAAGGAGGGGATGTTTGGCAAACAAAGCCCCATAGCCCCAACCAAAAACCATCATTGAGGGATCCTCACAGGATAGGGACCTAGGCCTGTCACTCACTGACTTTCATATACTGCCTTCCCTCAAATATTTCCTGATGTGTGGAAGAGCAACAAGAAATGCATGGAAAAGCAAGGTGAAAGCAAAGAACAGAGAATGATTTCTGTGTACTTACACAGATAGCAGAATAGCCAGAAGTCTTTTGAAGAAGAAGAGGAGGAAGAAGAAGAGGAGGAGATTGGATTTATACCCTGCCCTTCACTACCTAAAGGAGTCTCAAAGCGGCTTACAAACTCCTTTCCCTTCCCCTTCCCACAACAGACACCCTGTGAGGTAGGTGGGGCTGAGAGAGCTCTGACAGAAATTGCTCTTTTTCAAGAACAGCTCTGACAGGACTATGGCTTGCCCACCAGCTGCAAGTGGAGGAGTGGGGAATCAAACCCAGTTCTCCCAGATTAGAGTCCGCCCACTTAACCACTACATCAAACTGGCTCTTTATATCCTTCCTTTATAAGCCCTGTCTTCCAAAATGCCAAATTCTGCTTCTCCCCAGTAACACTGGCTGAACTATGCGAAGTGGGGGTTTTATCTATAAAGAAGCTTTTGGTAAACATCTGAGTGGCAGACTTTCACTCAAGGAGCCGAGTACTACGCATTGCC